CCCAAAGATTGCTTCTTTTTGGAGGTTTGAATCGGCTGGCTCTGAGGGGAAAGAAGCGAAATTTCCTCTCATGTGATTTATAGCCTTGGAAATGAGAAAGGGTCAGGTATGAGTTGGTTCTGATGTTATGTCAATGATTTTGAGCTTTATGGGCTAAAGAGAGCACTGGTGACAGATCATCAGTGAGTGGCACTGCTAATCCAAAGGTCAGGCAGCTCCAGTGCTTCAAATCCGCCTGCTGCTCTAAGAGAAAAAGGTGGGCTATCTCCACCCATTAGGGTTTACAGGCTCAGAAATCTCATGAATACTGGCCATAATTGAGGCATTTATACACATTTTGTACTTCACAAGGGGCATAGGAGAGTTAAAAAAAAACCCAACCCCAAATTAAAAAGAAACCAATAAAGGTAAAGCTGCAACATATATAAAAGTGAAGTGCCAGAAAATGAAATGAAAGGATCTAACTCCTTCCTGATAAACCTTAAAAGCAAGAAAGTTTAAGGTCAACATCTGCAGGATTTTATCTGTTTGATAAAATGGAGATTGGTGGTGGTGTTTGTTGTTATGTGCCATCAAGTCATTTGTGACTTATAGCGACCCTGTGTACAAATAGTCCTGAAACCTGCTCTATCCTGTGCCAACCTCATTGTCTTTGACACACCTACCTTTATTATCCCAGTCACTGAATCAATCCACCTCATCGAGGCTCTTTCTCTTCTGCGCTGTCCCTCCACTCTTCCAAGCATGATGTCCCTCTCTCAGGATTCATCCCACCCTGCAACATCCCCAGAGTATGTCAGACGAAGCTTCAGAGTCCTTGCCTCCAAAGAGCAGCCTAGTTCCACACTCTCCAGGATGAAACCTGTTTGTTCTCCTGGCAGTCCAAGGGTATATTAAATACTTTTCTCCAACACCACAGCTCAAAGGCATCAGTTTTCCTTCTGTCATCCCTAGTCATTGTCCAGCTTTCTGACACATAGCAAGTAAATGTGAAGGCTATGGCCGGGATCAGGTGCACCTTAGTGTCCAGACTGATGTTGTTACTGCTCAGGACTCTGGAGAAGTCCCTGACATCAGATTTTCCCAATGCAACTCATGATTTCCTGGCTGCCAGTACCAAGAGTGTTGATTGTGGAGCCAAGCAAACTAAATCTGTTAACAGTCTCAGTCTCTACCATCTATCATAATGCTTTCAATTGGCCCAGTGGTGAGATGGCCCAGTGGTGACCTATCTATGTACAACAGCCCTGAAACCTGCTTATCCTGTGCCAACCTCATTGTCTCTGACACACTTACCCTCATTACCCCAGTCACTGTATCAGTCCATCTCATCGAGGGTCTTTGCCACACCTGCCTCGCTGTCCTCTCTGGCCACGACGCCTGTGTGACAAAATGGGTCGTCCGTGCCTGTACGGGGTCTCTGACCTCAAGGATAGCATAAGAGGGAATCTTGCAAGCCCTGTGCTTGTGAGTGGGCTGATGCCTGGATATTTGTTACAGATGGGTCTTCGTAATCCCGGGAAACCTCTGGAAATTAAGTTGCTTCTAGGATAAGAATGGGAGTTTCTGGGGAAAAATCAAGGGAACTTCACCAGAACTGGGATAAAGATTTAACTAAAGTCCTTAATCAGGAACCATTTGATGTTCCTGGAAATGATAACATACAAGATGAAAATATAAAAGAAATTGAGATTGTTCTTAAAAGTATAATTTTGAATATGATCTTTGAGTATGTATCTAATTCCTCTTTTGTGATACTTGCAACTCATATTTAGTAATGTAATTGTATATTAAGAGAAAGTTTAGACTAGTTTTAACAGCAGAAAGCCATAGTTAATGAGAATAAAACAGAGAGGTTTAAGAAAAGACTCAAAAGACAAACTTCTCTAAAAGTAAAGGTCTCTTTAAGAAATAGGAAATATTACCAGATAAATAACAGGTGGTGGGAAGAAAGTACTTATAAAGGACCATATGTCCTGCCAACTCCAACACCAGTACCTCTTCCTTATACAGACGTTTTGTATGCCAAGGAAAAAGAATTGAATATTACAAATTAACTTGGTAAAAACAAGTTAAGTGCACATTGCCAAACAGAAACAAATTAAAATCTTATGAAACAAGTTGCAAAAGCTATTGTTAAACATAGGAATGGTCCAGAGTGTAAGAAAATAGATGTTAAGATTCGTTAGGTACAGTACAAATATGAGTATAAAGGTAAAAACAAAGGTGGCTAAAATACAGTGACACAAAGTAGGAGAGGAAAGGAAGTGAAATGTAAACCATTAACCATTGTCTAGCAGATGACCAACATAAGGTCATTGTGTTTCTTGTTCAAAGAATGTTTAATAGCTGATGCTATTATTTAGTAATAGAAAATACTTTCTTTTTGTTAAAATTTTTTTTTGGTTTTTTAATTCCAAAATGTTGGCTATAAGTCAAGTTTAAACAAGTTTAAATGTATAAAAAGCAAGCTTTTAGCATAATAAATCAGAGCTCTCTACATCATCCTGGTGTGCAGACTCTCATTTTCGCCGAATTCGTCCCTCACCTGCTCTTCACCAAGAAACCCCTTGAGTTTCTTGTCACGACCGTGGTCGGGTGGTCGGTGACAGGTCTTCCTCTCTTTCTCCGTCCCTCCATGCTTCCAAGCATCATGCCGCTCTCCAAGGACCAGTCCCTCCTTGCAACATGCCCAAAGTATGTCAGACGAAGCCTCAGAATCCTTGCCTCCAAGGAGCAGCCTATCTTCACCAGCTCTAGGACAAACTGGTTTGTTCTCCTAGCCACCCACGGTATAGTCACACTCTTCTCCAGCATCACAACTCAAAGGCATCAATCCTCTTTCTATCAGCCCTAGTCATTGTCCAGCTCTCTGGCATATAGCAAGCAATTACGAAGACTATGGCCTGGATCAGGCACACCTTATTCTCCAGATTGATGTCATTGCTCTTCAGTACTCTGGAAAGGTCTCTGATAGCCAACTTTCCCAATGCAATTCATCTCTTGATTTCCTGGCTGCTGGTACCAAGAGTGTTGATTGTGGAGCCAAGCAAATCTGTTAACAATCTCAATCTCTTCACCATCTATCATAATGCTGCCAATTGGCCCAGTGGTGAGAATCTTTGTTTTCTTGATGTTGAGCTTCAATCCATATTGAAGGCTCTAGTCCTTGACCTTCTGAAGCAAGAGCTTAGACAGCATTTTTTTTCCCTCTCCCGAGGATCAGCTGGTGGATTTGAACTGTTTACGACTGGGTTGGCAGCGCAATGCCTTACCACTAAGCCACCAGAGCACATCCTTCAAAACAAACACTTGGCGGCTATGGAACTAACTTGCTAGCTTCACTTGATGTATGATTCCTGATGACCAACCTCGGAAATCATTTCACCTACACCAGAAGTACAGAAAGGGCTACGAAACAAACCACAAAGAAGATTCAAGAGAAAAAGCACTTTAAAAATGTTCCTCTTCCTGTGAGGAGGCCCACCAAGAGGAAGTGTAGCCTCCCACCCACAAATTTCCCAGACTTTCATCTGGAGAGCAGCTCACCGAACCACTGGCTTCTGGAGTGGCTGACTCAGAAACTCAGGGCTCATCCGAAGAGGGCCATGGGTCTCCGGACCACCAAAGAGACAGGCAGAGGAGCCAGGCAGCCCCCAGCACACCAGGAGGGTAAGGTAGCATACTCGTTACTGTGTTCATGTACTTGTCAGAACTGAGCTTTAACCAGAAGGACTCCTATTTGTGGGTGTGAGGGAGAAGGCTGCAGCCCTCTCCTGTGCCGCTTACAGCCTCTGAAAACCGCCAACTTGGCAATGACTTTAAAGTGGTTTTTAGTCCTCTTTTGGCTCTTGTATGATACATTGTACACTGAGATCTGTCGTTTTCAAACTGATTTTTGTCTTTCGGTCTTTACGTATGAACAGAAATGGAGATTATTTTTTAAAAACCTGTCAAAGATTTCTATTAAATTGCCCAATGTCTGGTAACTTTAAGGTTGAGAAAAAGTTTAGTTAAACGACAATTGAAAATGTATTCTTAAAAAAAAAAAGAAAATGTATTCTTAATATCTATTAATATACGACTTGAGTCGGTGCTCACTTAAATAACTGAGGTAAGGTCACTTTTAAAGGAAACTCGCTTTTTAAAAAGTTCATTGTTTCGGAGAGAGCGGGAGACTCCTTTCTAGCTGAGCTATGTGCGCCCTGCGTTTCTGCCGCGGTCTTCTATGGCACCTCGCCTTCTACCTCCAGATCGGTAATAACCAGCGCCTAAGAAGAATCCAAACAGAAATTATGAGCGTGTGCCATCATGCCGCTGCACGCTCACAGCCTGAAAAATCAGGAAGAGGCTCAACTATCAGATTGCCGTGGGCATCTCGCCCAGGCCAGTGCGCCCGAGTCCTGGGTCCCACCAGAGCGCGCGCCGCCGCCGGAGACTGCAGAGCACTAGAGTCAGGAGCGCCTCCCGCGAGGGGACCCGCCCCAGCGCTCCAGTCGCCGCGGCACTGGACACCTGCCGTGCTCCCACCAGGCTCCGCCCGCGCCTCTTGGGGAGGGACGCGGACGCAGGCCGAGGGGCTTTGCACATTGCCAGAGCAGGAAGTGAGGACGAGGCGGGAGCTGGCGAGCGGAGGAGCTGTGGCCCCAGAGAGCCAGCTCAGGCGCTGGGAGAACGTGGACTCAGGACTTTCCACCTGGTGTGTTCGCCGCTGCTCTCCGCCCACGTTCGGGGCGCCCAGCTCTGCCCGGGTGTGCATTATCCCCAGCACCCCCATGGCTTCCCTGGAGGACCCCATGCGCCCAGGTAAGGTGGCCCTGGGCCCTGCCGGAATCCCTGGCTTCAGGTACAGTGGAGACTTTCCCTCCCGAGAGCGCCTGTAGGTCACCGACTCCTCCCCATGTACCCAGATGCGCTCCTTTTTCTGACCCCAGTCGCTTTTGTCCAGACCTGGTGTGCCAGGTTGGAACAAGTCCAGCAGACCTCTCCAGCAGAAAAGCATGCCGGGTGGGTTCCATTTCTTTTCCTCCTAGGCCTCTTTCTTCTCCCCACTCACGTGCCTTATCTCTCCGTTTAAAAAAATTTATTTCCTTCTTCTGTGATCCTCACTATGGCCCCTGGCGCTGTATTGTATTCAGTATCCACAGAGCCAAGAGGGAGGCCCCACATGTGGAAGGCTTTGATGTGAATGGCCTGCAGAATACTGTGGTGTGAGCAACAGGGACTGGATTCTAGATTCTTCCAACTCTCAACAGCACTTAACTCCTGCTGGCTTTCACACCGTCGCCCCCACGCCCGGAGTTCTACACCGTTGCCCTCTCCTAGCAGCCACCCTATCCTCTATAAAAAGTCTGGACTGAATGAGACTTTCCCAGAGACCGCTTCTGGTTTTGTTGAGGTTGGAAACTCGGGAGATCTGTCTGCTCAGATAAGCATGTTTCCGCCCTTAAGGTTCAGGCCCTGCGGGGGATGGAGTTTGAGCTCAGGTTTTAGCAGTTAGGAACAGGGAGGGGTTTTGAAAGGCTGAATCCGTTGGTTCATTTGGGCTTGTTGTCTGCTGGGCTTGAGGGTGGGGTTCCTGAGGCTTCTGCGCAGGAGCTCTAGGCTTCTTCAAGTGAAGAATGTAAATGTTTGATGGATTGGAGATGGGAAGTAAACAGATTGTCAGGATACCTCCTCCTCATCCCCTTCCCTCGCCTGGGTCTGGAAACATAGGAAGAGGAGTGAAGGGAGAGATTGGCCGCCTCACACCCCCTCATCCACCTCCTCTTCTCACAAGTTAGCTGACAAGGTACCAAGGGCTGTGTATAAAACACCAGCTTTCACCTACAGTAGTTGTCAGAGCTCACCAATTAATGATGCTGGTTGTTTGTTGTTATGTGCCATTGAGTTGTTTGTGACTCATAGTGACCCTATGTGGGATTTTAAAACATTGCTGTAGCGCACAGGGGGAAATGGGAAATCCTGGGTTTGGGCTGCCTCATATCAATTGCCCTGAGAAGGTTGGGGACACCCCTTGGCCACAACACAAAGCCACTTTGAAGCAACAGTGTGGCTAGGCCCCATGGTGTGGTTTGGCCACCCCCAAGCATGAGCTAGTGCACAGGAAGAAGCAGCACGCCCTGGCTCCAGGCCAGCCTGTCCCAAGGGTCAGATGGGACCCTGGTGGTCTGCAGGGTTTCTCACTTGCTCTAAGGATGCACTCCAGGATAGCGCAGTGAGGAGGATGTCACAGGAAAGGCTCTGTTGTTGATTATGTCACTAGGAGGCATACTTTTCTCAGTGGCACCTGACAACGAAAACCACCCGTTTTGGAAGTTGTTGCAGAATTAGTTCCATTGTAGTCTGGAAGCTCCAGTGAAGCTTGTTTGGCATCACAGCAGTGCACTGGCACACGCCGACAGATGGGTGGTGCTTGAGCATGACGCACATTCGGAATTGACCCTGCCTCCCTCATTGTTTTTGCTTCATTCAGTCGGAACTGACCCATAGCTGACCCAGAGCCAGTAAATCACACAGGAGAATACCAATCTTTCTCCTACAGAGCAGCTGATGAATTTGAACCTCATACTTTTAGGCTGGCAGCACAACTCCTTACCACTAGGCTACCAGAGCTGAGTCTTCCTCATGCGATGAGAATTTGGACAATGAGCCGCTGGAGATGTGTTAATTAAGATCCTAGAGGGTAGTGATGAAACTACAGGCTATAGAGTCAGGGAGCTCTGGTGACCTAGTGGTTAAGGAGTTGCACTAACAACTCAAAGGCAGGAGGTTCAAGTCCACCAGCTGCTCCAAGGAAAATGGGCAGTCCCCTCTAGTGCAGTTTACAATCTCTGAAGACCCACAGGAGGGTCAGCCATAGGGTGGTTCCAACGAGGGAGCAATAAGAAAGAATTCACATGATGGAACTCTTAGTCTGCTTTGCCCAACCTAAATGGACGTGTACAACCTGGAACAGATGGGCAGCTTGGAACAAAGAGGAGATTGCAAATCCCGACTTGCATGCAATAATTGAGAGAACAGAGTAAGATAAGAGAAGGGTGTCCTCAGGAAGGATTGCTGCCAGGACTTTGAGAGGTGGAGTCCCAGGCAGACAAGAGGAATGAGGGCTTCACTCCTAGAGGCGGGGTTCCAATCCTGGAGAATGAAACCAGAGAACAGCCGAGGCCTCGCAACAGTGATCCTCAGGCTGCCCGCTCTGAGAGTCTAGCAGCAAAATGAGGGTCCTTCATCCAGAGAAGACCTTCCACTGTGTAGCACTATATTTGCTTCCTGCGACCCAAGTGACTTTGCATTCCAACCCACCTACACCTCCCCTCCCTCTAACCAAGCCATAGGTGGTGCCAGAGAGTGCAGTGTGTTCCATGGGGTTTGCATGTCTCCACCGCAGGCGCTACACGCAGGCCCCTTAGTGTTTTCACGTCTGTGCCTCTCTTCTTCAAAAACGTGGTTAGAGTAGTCCTTTTTTTAAAAGTTTTACTGTGAGGGATCTCTGTGCTGCAATCCTAAAGGCACACAGTTTGAATCTCCCAGATGCTGTGCTGGAGAAGGAGGGGCAATTTCCTCCTGTGCCAGCTGGATGGACAGCTCACTGACATTATAAAGCATTCCCCATCCTGTACCAACTACACCAGGAGTATTTTCAAAAGTTTTTTCTCACTCTAAACATAAACTCAGTCCCCCTCAGTCATAACCCTGCTCTCTCCTCCCACCACTGCCCCCAACTCCTGGTAACCACGAATCTTCCTCAGCCTCTGTTTTTCTCTTCTCTGTATCCCGCAGAAGTGGGATCACACAGGATGTGCCCTTTTGTGGCTGACTTATTTCGATCAGCATCATCTATTCAAGGTTCATCCATGCTATGCCATTTGGCAGGCTTGGTTCTGCTGGGTGAATACTATTCTGTTGAATGTGTTTGCCACATTTGATTTATTCACTCATTTGCAAGTGGGCGCCTGGGATGCCTCTTAGTTATTATGACTTGAGCTGTCACAGCCATTGTTATACACATGTCTGATTGAACATACAAAATACACTCCATCCTAGAGAGGGTGAAACCAGGCTGCTCATTGGAAGCAAGGGTTTTGAAGCTCTGTCTCACATACTTTGGGCATGTTATAAGCAGGGACCAGTCCTTGGAGAGGGACATCATGCTTAGAAGGGTGGAGAGACAGTGCAGGAGAAGAAGACCCTGGATGAGATGGGTTGACTCAGTGTCTGGGGTAATGGGGGTAGCTGTGTCAGAGACGATGAAATTGACTCAAGATAGAGCAGGTTTTAGCTGTTGTACATGGATAGGGTCGCTCTGAGTTGGAGTCAACTCAATGGCACATAACAACAACAACAACAGATTTATTTTGCACTTACAGCTGGGAGTGGAATTGCTGAGTGTGGAGTCACTTTAAAAACAAACCACATCCCGTCCTGAGAACCCTGCACTGACTTGCCAACAACCACTGTGTCCTCAAGTGGTTTCTGCATTCTGTATGGTCAATTTCAACTTCCCTTTTCAGCCAGCTCAAGCTCCAGTCTGCCTACTGCTCTTTGAACTACCTTCTTCTGTCTTCTTGAAAGTCCTTGTCCCCTCCAGCCTTGGGACTCCTCCCCCACCCTCCTCCTCTCAGGTAATTCCTGCTCCTCTTTCTGATTTCTGTTCAGAAGTGAGCTAGATGAAGCTCATCTCACCACATTTAGTGTGCCCCATGGCTTTTCTTTCAAGCTTTTTCATGTGTGCGGTATTTTATATAATCAAATACATTGTGTTTCATTCATGTACACTGTGTTTTATGCAGTCATTCTCTACATGGCGTTTTATATCATTATTGTTCCTCTATGTCTTTTATCACCCCACTGCATCTCTCTTTTTTCCTTCACCATTTTCATCCGTCCACTAACCTCTGCTATCCTAATGATTATCCCTATTCTCTCTTCTTCTTCTTCTGCTCCTCCCTTGCCCTTTTGAACATTTATACATATCTTGCTCAGGTATCGTCCTATTTTTACAATGTTATTGTTGTATACATTCAAGTCAGAACCAACCCATATCTGATCCTTCAGTGGGTTTTCACAGGCAGTAAATTGCATGGGAGTTGATTGCTCATCTTTCTTCCATGGAACAAGCTGGTGGATTTGAACCACATACTTTGGTGCTGGCAGTGCAATTCGTTGCCACTAAGCCACCAGAGCTCGCTATCATTTTCACAACAGCGGTCTTATAATAGCAGTATTTGTCCTTATGTGACTGAGTTATTTCACTCAGCATAATGCTCTCTAGAGATCTCCCATGTTAAGATGTGTTTTACGAATACTTCATTGTTCTTCAGAACTGCATACTATTCCATTGCGTGGATGTCCCATAGTTTCTGTATCCTTTCATTTGTTGATGGGCATTTATTTGGGTTGCTTCCATCTTCTTGCTATTGTGAATAGCACTGTGATGAACATCAGTGTATATATCTCCATTCGTATCTCAGCTCTGGTTTCCTGGGGTATATCTTGTCCCAGGTCTCCACTGTGACTGTGTCTCTTGTCTCTCTCCTCACTTGACTGTCTCTCACCAGAACTGAGTGCTCAACTCAAGGAAGTACTGGATAAATAATACTGCTTCAGTGAATGAATGAAAGTGATCCCCAAACACTGATGCTTCCAAACTGTGTGTACGGGGTATGGGGGGGGTGGGAATGATCTTCCCAGATTGTGTTCTTAGGAATTTACTCATCAATTTTAATGAATAACTGAATTTACCTTGTAACATTTTTTAATATTTTTTTTAATAATTTTAATGAACATTTACAGAGAATTTGGATTTCCATTCATTCATTGCTGCACTTCTCTCCCCGC